CCCGGGGAGGAGCCGACAGAGTCTCCCGGGAGGCCGGTGCAACGAGACAGGATCCAGAGGCGACGACGGAGCAGTAAGTGCTACGGGTCCCGCAAGGGCCAGTGAACAGGAGGGGGTAGGAAGCAGCCCTGGGCAGAGCGCTTTTGGTGCCCCCGGGCTGACACACTTTGGGGAGGAACCCCATCAGTTGGGCAATGGTTAAACTCCCAGATCCCTTAGGGCCCCAGGCTGGGACCCGACAGCCCTGGGTCCCCCTAATCCCCCATCCTGCGCCCTAGCACTCGTCTTACCTTTCTACTTGGAGTCACGGAGTGGCAGCCTACCCAGGGGTTGGCCACGGAGGCACCTGAGACCCCGAGAAAGGAGCCACGTTTCAGGGGCAAAAGGATCCCATAAGACCTTAAAGTACCCAGGACGGTGGGCTTGCAGGGCCCCGCCCTCCTGGAGGAGAGCAGGAGCTCGCGCCCGTAGATCTGCCACAGACCCCCATTAGCCACACCCCGACTCCTATTAGCCAGGCCTCTGGAGGTAACACTCAGGGCAAGACAGACACGTGACCAGAAGTAAAAGGTGTCATGTGACCCCTCTAAGGACTTTTCCCACCATCTGCCTACCAACAGGGATTAGTTTGGCCCCCACCAAAGCCCCCTCATGCAACTATCCTGCAATTGCATTAACCCAATGTGTGTGACATGAACTCGGGGGCAGAGAGGCTGGGGGAAGGGTTCCCTCTAAGAGTTTCCTCCCATGAGCAGAATGAATTTTGTGTTGTGCACCAGTACGGAGTTTGTGGGGCTTGTTTGGATGTGCCACTGTGGCACCCAAGTTATTAATAAGTATCTTATAAACCTCTACCCTTTCCCTCTGCTGCCATGTCTCTTCTCCTTGCTCCATCAGCTCCCCTGGTGCCTGCTGCCCCCCAACTCCTCACCCTCCTCTGCTGTCCTGACTCAGACTCCTGCCCTTTGCCCTCCTGAGACCTGCCCCCTCCACCAGCCCTTCTCTCCCCCCTGTGCCCATTCCCATCATGTGAGCTACCCCTCCTCATCCCCTCTCCACCCCTGCCCTGCCTCTCTCCTCTGGTGCTGGTCCCTCCCCTGCAGGTGTCTGCCCTTCTGCTTCACCCCCAGAATCCCCTGGCACCTGCACCTTCCCTTAGCCCTGCACCCTCCTGGTGCCTCCCCCTTTTTCCCTGATGCCCCTCCTCATCACTCTCTGCCCCGTTCCCATCATGCCTCTGTGCCCTCACACATGACTTGCTCCATCTCCACCTTCCTTATGCCCACCCCTTCTTTCAAGCCTTATCCCAGTACCTCCCCCTGCCTCTAGCCCCCAATGTCCTTCCTCTCTCCTCTCCCAGCATCACCCTGTCCCCCTCCCACCGACACCTCCCCTCCTTCCCTTTCCCTCATTGTCTGCACTTGGCCCCCTGGCATTTGTCTCTCCTCCACCCTGTCCCTTGGTGCCTTCCCCTTTCTTCTCCTGACCTGCCCCCCTCCCCTCAGCACAAGGCCCTTTCTCTCCCACCCTTTTCCCCTTCCCCTCCTCTACCTGGCCTTTACCTTCCAGTTTGCGGGGCTGGAGTCTGTGATCGGGCCCCAGCTTCTTCCGAGGCTCCAGACCACATGCCAGACCCGGAGCTCGGCCGCACAGTGCAACGCTGGGCTGGGCGGTTTTCAAGTCCCGGGCCGTGACGTCACGCCACTCCACATCCGGGCGTCTCCCCTCTCAGCTGTTGCGCGGTGTTTGAGCACGTCGCAGGTGCGCTCCCTCGGCCCACAGTGCCCAGTACACAGCCAGCGCGCAGTGCCGGGGGATGCGAAGTGCGGGGCTGAGGTGCCCCGTCACAATCCCCCTCCTCCTCCGGCAGCCACCAGCCAGCCCTTAGGAGGACGGCCCACTGCAAATTCCCGGTATCCCGCCGGGCCAGTCCACTCCTGCCCAGGTTCCCCTTTTCAGGGCTCTCCTTCCCACCAGTTGTGCACTTACTCCTCCAGGCTCCGCACGGGGGGGTTTCACGGATGCTCACTGGGGCCAGGGCTGTCACTGCTCAGGCTGGGCACAGCGCCTAGCACAGCGAGGCCCTGCCGTCTGCACTGCAGCACCGTGGAGCCGAGACGCAGCAGGGCAACGCAGGGCCATGCCAGCCTGGGCACTCCCCAGGCAAAGCCTGTCTGGATTTTGGGTGGAGAAGCAGCTGACTACCGCTGGGGCTGCAATGGCCAGCGGGGCAGGTATTTCCTACGTTCAACCCTGTGCGGCCGAATGAAGCTATTACACATCTCTACCATCTGGCCTCTACGTCGCCCAGGAGCCAGCAAGCGGCCCGCACGGCCCGGCGGAGAGTTGCCCCAGAGCAGAGCAGCGGTATGGGACTGGACTTACCCACACAGTGTCCCAACTCAACCGCACCAGCAGCAAGTCCTCCTTCCTGGGGGGCTCAGGAGCTGAACTCCAGGAGTAGACGCTCCCTCGCTGGCTGCTGCCATCTGCACTAGCGATGGAGAGCAGGCTGCAGGGCCTGTGCCCAAGCGGCGGGGAGGGCGAGTGGGTACACGCCGGG